TAATATAAAATAAGAAAATTATTATTTTTGTAAAAGAACAAATTTAAAAAATATTCTAATATCGAACATTTATTAAAAATTTTTTTTTCAATTTTGCTAGATTCGTTTATTGGTCATAACATTCTGAAAGTTAAAGTTGGAACGGGATAGACCAATCACAGTTGAGCACCCTGAGAATAGGTTAGGTTAACAAAAATATAAAGCCGGTGACGATTTGAGTGTAGTAACGAGAAACAAGTTGTTCCTACATACAGATTTATATGAATAGATTCTATTCTGTATTTAATTTTTTTAATGAGATATACGTATAGATAAAGTATGGATAATAGTATAACTAACAATGCAACAATAGGACCTCAAGTAATACAAAATTATCAACAGATACTTAACAATGTGCTCATACAGGTATAAATTTATTTTATTATTTCTCAATGAAATTTTATGCTTTATGCTGATTTCCTTATTCATATTACATTTGTTATATTAAAACAATTGTAAACCGACTTACATTACAGAAACTTGAACAAAATGAAAAACGAACCAAAGCAATAACAGATTATAAAAAGGGACACAAAAAAGTAATAGAGGGACTTGAAGCATACCCATTATCGCTTTCTGAGAATTGTATGGTGCCCATCGGCAAGCTGGCATTTATGAAAGGAAAATTAACTCACACTAATGAAATCTTGGTTTATTTGGGAGAGGGCTATTTTGTCAAGTATAGTGCATCACAAGCGATTGCATTATGCAATAGGAGAATAGCATGTATAAATATTATATATATCCTTGAAGAAAAACATTTTATTAGATATTACGACTGTTATATGTTTTTATGTTATCAGGGGCGGATGAAATGCTGAAGAGTTTAGAAACTGAAAGAAACTTGTATGAAATGAGACAATATATTCCATTGGAACATGATGTTTTTGGGAGGGACAGAAAAGATATAGTTGAACATTGGACCGAGGATAAGCTTGATGAGTGGAAAAGTATACAGAAAATTTGTCTTACCTTTTTATTTACATTATGCTATACATTGAAATTAAAATGTTCTTTTGCAGTGCAACATAGACAACGTGAGAAGGAGTATCGTCAGAAACTAGCAAAGTTGAAGGAAAAAGAAAAGACTAACATTCGTACTGAAGAAGATCTTTTCAAGAGACTCGATGAATTGGAGGTGGAAGAAGAATTAGAAGATGAAATTTACAGGTTACTCAGTTTTACAATTAAAACTTATTTTTTATGAGAATCGTAATCTATTGCTTACTGTTTTACAATTGCAGACTGGAAATCGAACGAAAAGCATATTATGGTGATGACTTGAAAGATGGCGAAGTTTATGATGAATCAGAAGAGGATGAATCTGATTCTGATCAAATTACAACAGAGAAAATTCAAGAAGAATTAAAAAAACTGAAAGATATCCAAATGGGTAGAGCTACAAGTGACACGCTGAATAGCAATTCTGATACAGTTCAAGATAAAATCATTGATACAAGTGTTACAAAGAATGAACAATCTCATTCTACAAATTTTTTCCAAGAGAAATTAAGGGAGGAGAATTGTTTACTTGAACATAAGAAAGTGTCTAAAGACACAAATACAAAGGAAAAAAGGAGAATATCATTTGCTGAGCCATGTGTCATAGAAGACGAAAGCAATATAAATGAAATATCAATATCTCAAGAAGTCTGTTCTGCTGTGAAGCAAAATGATACATTTAATGAAAGTTTTGAAGATGAAAATGATGCCATTAAGATTGAATTTTCACATTCATCCCATACTCCAGATATACTTGAATCAAATAATATGGAAATACAAAGTCCAGTAGATATTTATAAAATGTTTAATACTCCTAAATCGATTTTGAAAAGATCTCCAAATGATATGATTTTCAATGTTGAAGTTGTTCCTCCTTCAAACGAGAGCAATAATATAGATACAGAAGATGAAGATGAATATGTTAATTATGAATATCATTCTGTAGGTACAAATAATTTAATCATGCTATATTATCACGTAGATATTGTATATACTAATAAACATATTTTGTAGATGATCAAAGAGAGAGTCCAAGAACGTAAAACTTCATCTGTAAATGTTTCGATAGAGAAAGATGAAAAAAGAATTGTGAGTAGGTTCAAACTTGAACGAGCTAGAAGAAAGTGATGATTTGTAAATACAATAATATTGAAATTAAAAATCTATTTTTATAATATATAACCTTCCAAAATTACATTTATATTCCAATTATATGGATCATTTAAGAAACTATTTTGATTATCAATCTTGTAAAGATTACAATATAATCTACATGCTTCGAATTTCAATAAGTTCAAATGATATTAATAAGAACAAAATGCAAGATAATGTACATAATATTTACAATATATTTATTTCTGTGATTTCCATACAATAAGTGAGCCATTTTATATTTTTAATAGGATGGAGACAGGACATGGTAGTAAATGAAATAGACATAATTACTGTCTAATGTAACATTAATTCTATGTTGAAAGCAATCCACTATCTTGCACATTCTTAAGTATATTATACAGGTGCCTTCTCAACCAATTTGAACCAGTGGCCGCATTCACAACGACGTGGAGGACCTTGATGCAACCACATCCAGTTTATATGTAATGAATCCTCATCACAGATGCAGCCCATTATGCGACTTTCAAATGCACTATATACTATATTAGGATCTTCCTTTGTGCTGACTGCTCGCCGCTTTATAGCCAGATTATATGGATCCTAAAAAGATACAAGTTAACATATATGTTTTTAACAAGATATTGATATTCATCACAGTAATGTCTAAAAAATATTAAGATAAAATATACACAAGTCTAAAAAATGATTATGAAAGAAACTTGTTCTCATTATAATAATTTCTTATCTTTGATATTTGAAAAGCCTTATCAAGAGCTTCATTTTTTCAAATTTCACATACAACATTTCATTAATGTGACATAATTATTATATATCGCTAATAATAATAATTATATCATTATATAATTATATGTCGTTAATATAATTATTATATCACTAGCATAGCAAAGCCATAGGAAAATGTCCACACAGGCGTGTTAGTCAAACTGAAAATGTCACAACTTACATCGATACCGGCTAAATAGGCGAGCATTTCTCTCTTCTCCAGACCTGTGGCATGATCAAGCGGATCAGCAACTGTCAAAAGAAGAAAAACAGAGATATATATATAAATCGACCGATTTTTTTTTCTCTCTTTCTCTTCATACGCGCAATACGTCGGTCGTGGAAAATCAAAATCGATGGGCGAAAAATATTACGTAATGTAGATAATGTGAAAACGTGAAAAATCTATGTGGGACGGATTTGATTGGAAGCGATATTTACATTCTTTCTTTTGGGAGCACGCGAGGCTTCCAATAGAGATCCGCCGTCGACATGTTTGGAACACGGTACGAGCGCACAACCATGCCATTTTTCAGAATACAGAAGATATCACACTAGCCGTGTCTCGGTCCGAGACTGGGTTAAGTCGTCAGTCTTTCAGTCGCGGATCGAACGATGCGCAGATTGTCGTGCCAGGCTATTAAACAAACGCTAGTGAGGCGCTGCAGGCTGCAGTATACAGAATTGACAAATGATTAATTCGAATGAATGAACTTAGCCGATACATTGGATAATTATAGTTTTAAAATATTTAATTTAAATTATCTAAATAATTATTGAATTTTTTAAATTATAACTTTCTTATATGATTATAAAAAATTTATAACTTTTTAAACGATCATACAAAAACTTTGTTTAATTTCTGTTGATCATATAATGCAAAAATATATGTAATTAAAATTATCTTAAGGACTGTCGAGTCTTATAATTACATTTCAAAAATTCATACAACATATAAAATAATAGGAATTTTGAAAAAATTAATTAAATCGGCTAAATTTATATAAATTAAAAGTTTGTAGATATCTTTGACTTTTTATAGATCGCTTGTATTATTAATTGA